GGTAAAAAAGGTGTGTTAAAATGTATACATATATATTTGAACCATTTTCAATTATTTTTCATATTTTTTGTTGTTTTAAATTTCAATCTTGGGTTTTGGAAAAAATTTTTAAATTAGTCAATTTGGATGGTTTTATTATTCATAAAAGTTTTTTAAATTTTCACTAATCACTTGGTAATATTTTTTTATTTTCGTAAATAGTTTTATTCACACTAGATCAAAATGTACAAACTCTAACAGTGTATGTTTCACTGTAAATTTCTCTTGGCATGCAGTGCATATTGGAGATTCTGTGCCCTCAAGTAAATAATGCTAGGTGATGTAGGTGTGGCCTATGTGAAGGCGGATCAGCACGACCTGTTCTCTTCTATTTTTGTATTCTGAGTTCCATTCTCCAATATTGGGCTTAATGTTTTGGAATTTGTTATTATTGAATGTATTCCAAAAATGTTGCCATTTTTTAATGATAATTTTCTTTACAACTGTCTTATATTCGGAGTATGGAACCTTTGTGTTTGTTATTGCATCCTTCATGGCTTTTTTTTGGCCTCCGAATCCGCTCTGTCATTTCCCGGTATCCCATGATGGCTTCGGATCCAACAAAAGATTATTTCTTTATTTTTAGACAACTGGTAGCTTCTGTTTAGTACTTGTGTGGTTAAAAGGTCACTAACATTTTTATTTTTTAATGCAGTAAGTGCAGATAAAGAGTCTGTGAAAATTATGAATTTACTGTGAGGTGTTGTGATTATTATGTCAAGTGCTAAATTAATAGCAATTATATCCGCACTATATATTGAAGCTTGAATAAGTAATTATTTTCCGTTGCTTATTCTGTTTTAGTATGGCAGCACATCCTACTCCATTTTCACTTTTTGCTCCATTTGTATGGTAAAAAAAAAAGAAGCTGTCTATGTCTAAAGATGGTCTGAGTGGTTATTTTTAATCTTCAATATTTTAGACTGGTATACAATAGGTTTTGTTTTGAATTCTGGATATCTTGTAAGGTCTAAAATTATTTTAGGTTGGGTTTATGATCCAAGGGGGTGTAAATGAAATAATTGATTTGTGAATTTGTGTTGTATTTATCAGGTTTTCTCCTATGATGTTTTTAATGCGTAAACTGAAAGGTTTGATGGATTTTTCTTTTTACTGGAAAAGTTCTGTGTATTGTGGTTGGAAAGTATTACTGTAAGCTGGGTTTAGAGGACATGATGATAGTTTTAGGTAGTATTGGAGAGTAAGCTTTTCACATCTTAGTTTAAGAGATGGTTCATTTGCTTCCGTGTATAAGCTTTTAACAGGAGAGGTGCTATATGCTCCAAGGGCTAGTCTAAGTCCTTGATGGTGTATAGTATCAAGTTCTTTCAAATATGTTTTTCTGGCTGCTCCATATATAAAGCAGGCATAATCAAGTTTTGATCTGATTAGAGAGCGATATAATTTTTTGTTCTAAGTAATTGTATAGCTTTATTACATTTGGATCAAGTATTTAATATGGGAAATAAAGGTGAATTTGCGGTCAAAAATGACTCCAAATATTTGTATTGTTCTACAACTGGAATTTTAGTGTTGTCAATTTTCAGTACTGGGTCAAGGTAGAGTTTATGTTGGTTGCAGAAGTGGACACATTTCGTTTTTTCTGTTGAAAATTTTAGTCCATTCTCTGTGGTCCATTTGTTGAGTTTATCAAGGCATATCTGGAGTTGTCTTTCTGTATGGTTCATATTTCTTGCTCTATAACATATCAGGAAGTCATCTACATACAAAACATAGTTTGTTCTGCTATTTATGTTTTTTACAATATCATTTATTTTGATATTAAACAGCGTAACGGACAAGAAACTGCCTTGAAGTACACACATTTCTTGTTCTTTTTCTTCAGAGAAAATATCTCCTATTTAACTTAATCTTCTATCCTGCATGAATTTTTTGATAAATATTGGCATACGATCTTCTAGCTTCAAGTTTTTAAGGTCTTTTACTATGTCGTGCATTTTGTCATATGCAATTTCAAGATCAAAGAAAACTACCACTAGATGCTCTTTTTTTTAAATAAAGGCCTCTTTGATAAAGGTTTCTAAGCAGATCAGATGATGCATAAAGATTCTTTGACTTCTAAAACCAGATTGATATTCAGTTATTAATTTGTTAGGTTCTAGATATCAGATCAATCTGGCATTTATCATTCTCTCTAGTGTTTTGCAGACAAAACTGCTAAGAGGAATTGGTCTGTAGTTTTTTTGCATTTGTATTGTCTCTCATAGGTTTGGATATTGGTATAAATGTAGTTTGTTTCCATATTTTAGAGATGTCACCGCTCTTCCATATAGTATTGTAGATTTGTAGGAGTTACTTCCTGGATGGTTTGGGTAATTCTTTTAGGAATTGATAGTGAATTTTGTCTGGTCCAACTGCTGTATTGTGGGCCTTGTTGAGGATTCCAACAGTTCTGTAGTAGAGAAAGGTTGGTTGCTTTCAGTATTTTTTTGTTTTGAATTTGATTTTTACTTTTTTTTGTGCTTTTGTTTTGATGGTTTGAAAATTTTTGCTTTGGTTTTCTGTGGATGAATTTTTGTGAGACAATTTTGGCAAATGGTTTTCCATATTTTCTCATCGGTAATCTTTTTTTGGTTATTGTGGGTAAGATGTTTGGTAGGGTATTGCTATTTTTTTTAAGTTATTTTCCAAATCATCTGCCATACTTTTTTTTTGGTTTTCTCTTATTTATTTTGGCAACGTAATTTTTCCATGTATTTCTTTTGGATTCTTTGATGATTTTTCAGGCTTTGGCTCTGCTCTTTTTATAGGTGTTTAAATTTTCTCGTGTTGGGTTTATTTTGAATTTCTTTAGTGTTGCTCTGTGTAATCTGACATCTTTTTTGCATTCCTTATTGAATCATGGCCTATTGTATTTTGAAGAGGTGGGGCTTTTGTGTTGGTAAAGTACAGGGTTTCTTCTTCATTATTGTTTATTGGCTTCTGTGGTTAGTTCGATTAGACATGAAGTTTTAAATCCATCCCAATTAGCCTTTTCTAAATTCCAGGAGTTTTTTTTTTTTTTATTTAGTTTGTTGGTGGTATTTTCTAGTAGAATCAGAAAGTGGTCACTTCCACATGTGTCATCATGTACTTTCCAGTTATAATCTAGAAACAGGTTAAGGTCACATTATTAAATCTATTTCTTAATATGTGCCTGTTGTTGGGTGTAGGTATGTGCTTGGTTCATTGTTATACATGCATAACTGATGTTTAATACAGATTCTATTATTTTGTCCTTTTTGTCCGTTTTCTTGCTTCCCCAGATCTCATTATGGCTTTTGAAGTCCCACATTATAATAAAGGGGTCTTAGTAGTTGTGATATCAAATTGTTTAGCTCTGATTCTTGGAGTTATTCACTTGGGCGAATATATAGTGAACACAATTATTGTTTTGTGGAGGGATGCTGATATAGCGGCTGCTTCCATATTGGTATTTAGTGTGACTTCACTGTGCGGGATATTATTGTTAATAAGTACTGATGATCTGCCACAAGGTCTATCAGCCTGCTGCTTAATATAATTGTACAATTGATGGGTTTGATGTTGATGGTATTGTTTTTGAGATGAGTTTCTTGAAGGCATATGATTGTTGGGTAGTATTTTGTTATAAGCAGCAATAATTCAGAGTGATTGACACTTGCTCCTCTGATATTCCATTGGATGCTTTTATTGTCCATATGATTTTAATTTTTGGGGTCTATGTGTTTTTTTTTTTTGTTTTTTTTAGATTTCTTGGTTTTTACCCTTGCGGGTAAAGGCTCCTCAACCTCCATTTTTTTCCAATAGATTATGCCCTTTTTTAAGCTCCACAGGAGCTGGGTCTTTTGACTGGCCCGATGTTTTCTCTGTGGATGTATTCCTCTTTGGGGAGGTCTTTGTCACCCTTTTTCCATTGCTCACCTCGCATGTTCGTGGACGGATGGGAGATCTTTGGTATTTTGGTTTAGAGGTAGTCTTCGCAGGAGAACGCGGTATGTTTTCATCTTTCGTTTCACCGTTTGTTTCCGGTTCCTGTGATTCCTCTCAAACTCCATAAGTCTTTCTAAGGTGTTCTTGAAAATTTAGCCACTCATTTGTAGTCAAATGTCGTAATTTGTCTATCAGTTCACGGTATTTGTCTTCTTGAGTTTTTTTTTGTTCCTTGATATTTGTTTTTTTGTGTTACATAGGCATACGACTGTGCTCCCATATAAGAATCGACAATCCTCCTAGCCTCTGGGAAGAACAAATTTCTTTTGTGTTTAATTTGCACCACCTCTTTTTCTTTCCTATAAACTTCAGTCTCTAGAGAACGCAGGTTGATTCTCATGACAATTGGTGCATCTTCTTTCTCTCTGGCATTCCTCTTCCGTATGGGCTGGGTTCTTTTCTGAGCATTTGCCACAGACCTGTTGTCCTCGGCATATGTCTTTGTGGTGCCCAAATCTCTGGCACTTAAAACACCGCAAGGGAGCTGGTACATAGGTTTCACGGTCGAAAGACTGGAACTCTATTTTAACTTCCCTTGGAATAGTGCGTGAGTCGAACGTAAGTATATGTGTTGGTCAATATAATCTCACCATTCCTCTTAATGCTAATTCTTTTGTAATCGGTGACACCCTGCCTTCACAGTGCCATTTTTGTCTCTTCTGTTGCTAAGCTCAATTCTTCACTTCTTATGACTCTTACAAGAGTTCGACTTCTCATGCAGTTAAACCTTATATTTATACTTATGGAATTTTTCCATTTTTAGTAAATTTTCGGCATGTTTTTTCTCAGTTACTTCTACCAATAGGTTTCCATTTCTAATTAATTCCGACAATTTTTGTTGCTGGTAATATCTTTTTCCTTCATAAATCTATTTTTGATATTCTATTCTTCAAAAAAGTATTGCTGACGATAATATTTTTTACAAAAAGTATTTCTTGTATTAAAATCTATTTTTACACTTTCATAGTGTTTTGACCCCATTTTGGTGGTTAACTATTTGCCCATAGCTGGAACCCTAACAGGTGCTACCACCCTGGGTCAGGGTGGACCTGGAAACACCAGCAAATTAAGAAGTGGTTCCACATTCCTCAAAACCTCCTAATCAGAGGCCTTGCTGTTGGACGTAGTTTATCGTCTTACCCAGGACGGAACTGATTTCGGATTCGACCTGCTAGTTATTATCCTTTCAATGAGAAAATGTGATAATTTACTTAGAGGTTAACTTCCATTGATTCTATGACTATAAGTTTCGAGAATCCGCAATTTTCTGCGATAAAAATGTATAGAAAATGCTTTAAACGCTAGATCATCCACAGAAAATTTGCATCCAGATTCTTACATTTCACTTTTCATGTAAGATCTTCTATTATCAATGTGGAATATTTAATAAGAAGTGATAAATACTCATAAAAAGAAACTAAGTGGAACTGGCTAGGGTATGTATCCAAATACATTAAAAAATATTAATTTTAAAATTGCCATCCCCTCCATGAACGTTACATCACCATAATCACATTTAGCCGGATGAAGGAAGAAATTTGCTATATATATATATATATATATATATATATATATATATATATATATATATATATATATATATGTGTGTGTGTGTGTGTAAAATATATAGGAAAAGAACTCGTTAGGTAAATAATCCAAAGTTCTTTAGTATTTTTGTTATTTTTAAAAAATAGTGCTCGATACAAAAGTAGTGCATAAATATAATTATTTAAAAATGTGATTCCAACGCTACATAAGAGTTCTCATGTTTCAAATATAATTATTTGAATTAAATTGAATTAAAGTACTAAGCTCTGTTCCATCTTCAAGCGAAATTTTTTTTTTATGGAACAGAGCTTAGTACTTCAATTAGTAAATCAAATAATTATATTGAAGTTTATACCCATGATCTTGTTTTGAAACATGAGAACCTTATGTAAAGTTTGAATATTTTTTTGGAATAAATAATTATATATATATATATATACAGAAGAGCCTTTCGGTTAGCAAGGTCAATTTTTACTGTTTTTAAACGCTCCTCTGTGGCTAATACGGTAAAGCACGTCAGGCCATATGACGGTTCTCTCTCTCTCTCTCTATATATATATATATATATATATATATATATATATATACTGTTTAAGAAAAATGAAATAAGTAAATATAAGCAACCGTAGACATGCGTGCTGTACACAGGTAAGCAAATAAATAATTTCCAATTTTTGTCAAGCGGTGTAAATATAATAGTGCTCGATGTGGTTAGACAGAGCCGGGAAATAGATATTAATAAATATACATATAACTGCGTTTGGTGTGCGAATTGAGTTTCGTTGGTTACCGAATTCGTCGGGCACAAGATGTAGCTTATTGTTTTTTTAAATATTCAGTGGATCAGGATAGGAACGTTGTTGCATAGTTCAAAATTAAGATGGTACAAAAATAGTACAAAGCAAATCTGGGGTTTATGTGCAGAAAATGGGATGCAGTTAGGAGTCATTAGGATAAAAAAAAAAAAGAAGTGGAAAATTGTAGCACTTTTGAAATTTAAGATTTGAACGGGAGACGCAGTCGGTTAGCACAAACCTTGGATGTTTCTAGGCTTAAAGGGAGATTATCAGTGTGAGCCTAACGTAAATTAAGTCGAAAAGAAATTTAACTAGGATGTTTTAGGAGAAACATTTTTCTTTGTGTACAGCTAGACGTAAGCTCATTCCGCTTGAGTAGGTTTAAATTATTATTTTTGAGGATGTATTTTTTTTCTAGTAAACGTAAGTTGCATCGTACCCATTTGGAAGAGAATGGTTTGATATATATATATATATATATATATATATATATATATATATATATTATACATACACATACTAAATGCTATGAAAAGCTGGCTTTAGTCGTAACGCCAGTTTTACGCATAAGATCGCGTGAGAATCAAACTCGGGCTACGACAAGAGCCATCCTTTCTTAGAGTTTAACATTGTTAAGCGTTTTCGCTAGGTCTAGACAATCTAGGCTTCGAGCACTTTACTGAGTAGGTAAGTTTGCCTTTTTCTCCCAGTACTGTAGTCTTTAGCCGAGACATTAACTGGATAAGAGTTTTAAGTTTCGACATGTCCGTTGGTTCTATCAACGGTCCATTGTTTATAAACTATTAACCCAGGTATGATTTTTGTCTGGGTCGTAAAACCGCACTTCCAAGGGTGAAAAGTGTGTGTGTGTGTGTGTGTGCGGTCGTTTCTATTATATTTCTTTTCGAGTCTATTTGGATGTGTGCCTAACAAAAAGTAATGTGAAAGTTTTTCTCCGCATTTCCAACTGCAGGCAATGACGTCATTACACTATGTAAGCCACTTAGAAGTTGGTTGACTTTACGTCACTGAACAGGAAAACCATTTAGGTGAAGTGATCGTCTAATTTGGTACTTTTCATCCTGTGTGAGTGTGTGTGCAAAATTACATTGTATGTCACACCAATACAAATCCTCATCAATAACATGAAAGCCATAAGTACAATATTACATATACTGTAAAAAGCTAATACAAAAGTATATATATATATATATATATATATATATATATATATATAAACACCCAGTACCAATAAAATTTCATTCGAGTGAGTAATAAACACACTAAATATATTTTAGAACTAATAATTTAAAATATGACATTGAAAAATCAGGTTTACGTTGATGCGACTATATGCCGAAAATATTTAAAAAAATAAAATAAATATCTCAGTGTTGCCTCTCTTTAGCGACACATCAACGTAAACATCACTTTAGTTCGATGAAGTATCAAAACACGAAACGTGTCGTATAACAAAATTTTCTTTCTGCTGCCAAAGATTTACCTAATATATGAAGTAAAAAAAATAAAAAATATATATATATATATATATATATATATATATATATATATATATGACTCCATTTATTTTATCACAGGGCCTCAGACTCAACACGAAGGCCTACATCAAATGTCTTGAGGAGGTAGTGCTGCCCTGGGTCAAGAGAGTAGATGCTGGAAGGTATCTAGCAACAGGACTCTGCACCATGCCACACTAGCAAGAGAATCCAGTCATGTCTCTCGGACATTTCTGCGATCACATCACCTCTTACATCTGGCCGCGTAACTCCTCCGACAGCAACCCCTTGATTATTGTGAGGGGCGACGTTGAGCGAGTGACCAACAAAATTCCTTGTAACACCAAAGATGAACTGAAGGCAAGGATTACTGCAGCATTCACCAACTTGAACAAGGAAACAGCCCAGAAGAGTTGCAGGAGATTCTGAAATCGTCCGGCGGCCGTGGATGAAGCCAATGAAGATTTTATTGAATAAATTTCCTCTTTAGTATTTAAAGATATTTTCGTGTAATTTTGGTAAATATATCTGTTAAAATGAGATGTCTCTGTTATTTTCATTTTTGCATAATTTAGACAACAATTTATCCATCGCACCATATATATATATATATATATATATATATATATATATATATATATATTCGTTGATTTTTTTTCAAACCAAGTTTAGGTTGTGAACCTTATTGACGATCAAATAGCAGCAATTCTAAAACTCCAGATCTATTTTCAGCATTGCTGTCATTTTGGATGGCAGTAGTCAAATCCCGATTTTTGAATTCCTTCAGCCATTTTTGCAAGTTTCTTTGGAGCCATTCCAAGTACTCTGGCAAGGATGACCAACTACAATCTTCGTATTATTCCACCATTCTTTTTTTTCCAAGTTTCCAGTATGTTATCATTGAAGCACGCGGTTATGGGTCTCTGGAGGCGACAATCACTCCAAGACAAACGAATTGTGTATTTTGAGAGTAAAAGTTCGTTATTTTCAAGGTAACTTAGAGGTAAATTACTTCTGCCATCCTGTAAAATCCCAGTCTCCACATGTAAGTTAATATTTTTATGCTTTCACTGTCCTTCAATAACAGATCTTATTCTCGTTGTTTCGGGTGAATAGACTTGAATTTCCCGAATTTTACTCGGATTCTCTATATTAGTGGTTTACAAGTTTAAATAATTCTTTTAGGCTAATTTGGTAGCATGTTATTGGTTTATCTACATATATCCACCCAGATGATATTTTGTACCCTGATGGGTATCATCTATCGCTAATGAAATATAATTTGTGTTAATGAGGCTAATAATAAGGACTACAGGTCTCGTTGTAATAACTTCTTATCCCTTCCTCAACCTCCAGCCAATACCTCGTAAATAATGGTCCATTCAGTTTTGATCGCTTGGATAAACGGAAAAAGGACATATCAGAGATTCTAATCCGTGAAAGAAAAAGAAAACAGTAAAAAGAAAACAGTAAAAAGAAAACAGTAAAAAGAAAACAGTAAAAAGAAAACAGTAAAAAGAAAACAGTAAAAAGAAAACAGTAAAAAGAAAACAGTAAAAAGAAAACAGTAAAAAGAAAACAGTAAAAAGAAAACAGTAAAAAGAAAACAGTAAAAAGAAAACAGTAAAAAGAAAACAGTAAAAAGAAAACAGTAAAAAGAAAACAGTAAAAAGAAAACAGTAAAAAGAAAACAGTAAAAAGAAAACAGTAAAAAAAAAAAAGTTTAAAAAATTTTAGTAAAAAAAAAACAGTAAAAAGAAAACAGTAAAAAGAAAACAGTAAAAAAAAAATAGTAAAAAAAAAAGTAAAAATAAAAAAAAAAAACAGTAAAAAGAAAACAGTAAAAAAAACAAAACAAAAAAAAAACAAAAAAAAAAAAACAGTAAAAAGAAAACAGTAAAAAAAAAAAAAAGAAAACAGTAAAAAAAAAAAAGTAAAAATTTTACAGTAAAAAAGAAAACAGTAAAAAAAAAAAAAAAAGAAAACAAAAAAAAAAAAAAAAAAACAGTAAAAAAGAAAACAGTAAAAAAAAAAAAAAAAAGTAAAAAAAAAAAAAAAAAACAGTAAAAGAAAACAGTAAAAAGAAAAAAGTAAAAAAAAAATGAAAGAAAAAAAAATGAAATGCATTTAAAAAAAAAAACAAAAAAAAAAGATAGAGAAAATAAAAAGAAAAGAAAAGATAGAGAAAAACAAAAAGAAAAGAAAAAGATTTTAATGTCTGTTTCAGTGAAATCGAAAAAATTGCCAGTTTCAGATCTTTTCATTTGTACCTCCTTACTTCTTTAAATATCGACCAGCATCCATATTTAGCATTGCAATTGCAAATTTGTTAAATTTTGCAAACTGAAATTTTTAACGATGCTTAGGCGAATTTTTTCTACAAATATTTGTCATAAAATTTAATCAGCATTATTCAATTATTAACTTCATCAGACATAACAGGAAAACCATCATATTTTCCCGGGCAATTCTATAATGCCCTGTATAATGTGAATATATTTTTTCAATATCGTCGGGCCATTTTCAGAGTTCTTTATGGCACACTCGAGAGAGAACCAATGAAATGCTGTCCATGCCTTAGCTGTCGACCTTCGTATATAGACACAAGCAAAATCTCTTCAGCACACATAAGAGTATCGATTTGTACGCACACACGCATTTCATGAGTATTAAAACATGTACATTGAAAATTAAACCAGGCACTTGCCAACTACAAACAAAACTTCCTTTTCTTTGCTTTTAATAATTAATTTAGAGGTCAGATTCCTGATCATCAATAAATTAGTCAGGTGACAAGCTTACGTTCCAAACTGCGGGGTTTCTTTAAAAAGTGCTTGTAGTCAACTCTAAGCTTAAAAAGGCTATCAAAACTATTGTAAAAACAATTTAAATATTTTGTATAAACGTAATTGTTTATACACTGACTGCGATATAACAATTAATTAGAAATTAAATATAAAATTATTCGGATTATTGTCCTCACCTTTGTCGCCATATTTATCAAAACATTTCGGACGTTGTAAATCTATAAACCTTCTTCATTAGAATGAATGTCGAACTGAAACCTTTATTTCGCTCATTTTAGACTGTTCTTCTAAAATTGATGCGTTTCATGTTTAATGGATTTTCAGTTATCACATATCCTCCTAATTTCCCTCTGAAAGTTCTCCAAAATTATTGTTAACCGATATAGAACTCACACTTTTTGGGTCTTGTCACTGGATCTAACCAACGCCTTTATCCACTGTGCCATGTGTCCTATAAAATGAGCGAAATAAAATTCTATTATTTGACATTCAAAACCACTTAATTGAAGGCCAAATTTTAAACGGAACTTGTTGTCAAAATAAAGATTTGTGCCAATGATTTTATATTTAAAATACAATAAATAAATAATCTTTTAAATATATCTTAGAATATATATTTTGAATTTATTTTTTAAAAAAATATTTTTGTATAATATTTATATATATATATAAATATATATATATAGAAATCGAAATGACAAATTTTCCATTCGACAGATGGTTTCATTTTAGACGATTGCGTCTGGCATGATTCAAAATCTTTTTAAAAATTGAAAAATGTTCATTTTATATTTACATACGCCATCTCTGATATTAAATTACTTTTTCCCATAAATATAGCACGCCTTAAATGAATACATTTATATATATATATATATATATATATATATATATATATATGATATTCAAAGAGATAATAGTCTAAAAATAAAGGCCTTTTCGTTTACTATCTGAACGAACGGGATAGTCACGTGAGTGTTCTGCCTTAAATGCTCATTAACTCTTGACAGCAAGATGACATTTTTATCTAGATATCTGGCAATGAAACAACCCAGGGAAATGTTGATTCTTGCCTTTCTAAAAAAATATTTTACAGTTCAATTTTTTCTTTAACCTCGGATAATAGGATATATATATATATATATATATATATATATATATATATATGAGAGAGACGCAGAGAGACAAAAATATTTATACATTCACCAGAGGCACAAATATATCCGCACACATGCATACAAACAACTATTCTCGCGCAGATCAATATACATGCGAGATAGAGAGCTTTGGAAATTATGAATAGGCAATATAAATATGCACACCGACCTCCCTGCTTACCAATATGTCTATTCGTGCCATTAAAATACCGGCAATACTCAAGTATTTTTCAGTTGCATTGGTAATATTTTACACAATTAGGCACCAATCTTTCGTTTATACACGTTTTGTTAAATATAATAGACAGAGAATGTCCGTATAGCCTTTTAGTGGATTTCTTTTGGTGTTGTCTAAATCATTGATGCCTTCTTATTTTGGGTTTCCAGTAACTTCGAAAGTCTTTTCATTCACTTTCACTCTTCTCGCGTCTAAGTAGTATTATCACCTTGATTGGAGTGAATTGATAAAGAAAAAATATTGACAACCGGGAAAACAACTGCTATATCCATATTCAATTATGGCGGATACATGAACAAGTTTTATACGCAGAAACAATCGAAGCATAGACCTAGAGAAATAAGCCTAGGATTAAGTGGATCTGGCGCGAATACGAATTATCTTATTGGATTACCGCCAAACACCATTTTCTTTTTATTAAATAAGAATAAGAACATCTTTGATACGGTTAGTTGTGGTTAATCTAATTTAAATCGCAGTTTTTCTATGTATATGCTTTTCATTTACTGTGTTCGGACTGTTGCCTCCATCTTTGTCATATCCGTTGAAATTTCGAAGGTAGATTGTTCCAGTTAATTCCCTTTAGTAACTCAACTGTCAACGCTTCTGTTCACCTCTGCTGTGGCCAGATATTGAACTCGCAACTCTTTGGGTCAAGTCATATTACATCAGTCAACACTTATATCCACTGGGTCATGTGTCCTTGGGGACTCATCCAGAAAAGGCCTGGCACGTGGAACTAGAACAATCTACCCCATACCTACCTCATCTAAGAAATACAGATAGATGCTTTTCATTGCCTGTCCCATAACATGACAAAAAGGTTATTTCCTTTCATATTTATTGTTAAATTTATGAAACATATTAGGCCAATTCGACAAAATCATCTTTAAAATACATGGAGATATGGCAGATGTTACAATACAATTAAGGGGTCTTTATTTTTAAATAATTTTCGTTAAAAATTAGAGGATAATGGATTTTTCTTAAAAATTTACCGGCCTATTGGAAAAACAGATTTTGGCATGCGATATTTAGGGACAAAATGCACGCATCAAACATGGTTATATAATTCAAAAAAATAAATAACCTTAATTTTTTATATTTTTTAAAACTTTAAAAAAAAAGAAGAAGAAATAATTGCATTAAATAACAAATTATAGTACTGATATGTTTATATGGATGTTTGTCCTTGTTTTGGTGTGAGGATTCCACTCTCAAAATGTGTCAAATTTTGATACACCATATATATATATATGTTCTAGGCTTCATAAATATTTTCAGGAACGTTATGATGGTCACTTACATGTTCTGTTTTTAGAAAAATAATAGTCTATATTTAAAGTTAAATATTTACTAAGTTTCATTTAGTCTGGCATAAGGCTACAAGAGTCGGTCACTGGGTAATGATGAAAAAACACTGACAAAAAACTCTGTTTAAATCATTGAGTTTAATGTAAATTTTTTCGGTTGATTAGTTTCAATTCACGTTATTTTGGTCTTTGGGAAGAAGGAAAAGAACAATAAAAACACAGAAGAATGGTATAAACATCCTCTTCATAAACTTGATGCCGGAAGAAGTCTACTTTTGCAGACAATTGAAACCGCCATCGTTTGATCCACATGATTAATCTAAAATTCACTGGCAATAGTCTAAAATCGGTTTATCATCATCTTCTCTGAATTTTTGGCATTTTCTTTTTTTTTTTGAGCGTTATGACATTTCAATCTGTCATACTTTTCAGTCAGGTCAAATTCAAAAAATTTTATAATATAAAAAGGAATCAAAAAAAAAAAAAAGATAGAGGCTATTGTATTCGCTTGATCTGAACAGGAATTCTTAACGTTTTTATTATCTTCGCCAATTCAAACCTATTTTTTTAGCCAATTCAACGCAATTCAAAATCAGACTTAGCAAAAAAAAAAAATGACTTCTGAGAAGAACGTTGTTGCCAGATAAATACATTGAAGGTGATTATTCAATTTGAAAACAAATTAAGTCACTATTTAATTTAATATTATTTAGGTACCTCCACGAGATCGCTAAAAAAAAAAGAGTATAGCATGATGAAAAAAAGACGCCAAACTTGACGAAAACAAAATTTTATCGTCTAAATGTTTGTTATTATTAAAGAGGAAAGATCAAAGTATTTTTGGGGTATTTTTTTTTACATTTTTTTAATCGTTCCTAGCACGTCCGAAATTTTCGTTAAAAATCTTGTTTTTTTTTTTTTTTGTCAGTTTATAAAAAAAATTTTTTTTCGATTTGATAAAAAAGATTAAAATTGACTTTGAAATTCTTTTAAAAATCAATTATCATTTTTTCAAAACTTATTTTAAGAAAATCAAAAATTATAATGTTTATTTAAAATATTTTGAACCAAGCTTAACTTAGATTCTGCGCCGAAAAAATGTAATTTGAAAATAAAACAAAGCAATCATAAACTTTCGCGTCACTTGACGAGTGATGAATGACATATTGATTCAGATTCCGTGATAATTTGTTCTACGGAAGGAGAAAAAATGAAAAATTTACATTTAAGTGAAACAAATTATTTACCTCGTTATTTTTAAGAAAAAACTTTCAGCGCTCTAATTTTTTTTTTTTTTTTTTTTGTACTTAGCTTTCACCTTTACGTTTGCGATGCTTTATGGAAAATATATTATAAAGAAATTAAAATAAGACTTAAGTGTGAGATTAAATTTCATATTTCATAAGAAAAGTATCTAATTAATTTATAGGTACCTTTCTTATGAAATTTTATCAGAAGTGTACATAAAATACTATAATTTTATGTACATTTATTACATTTTACTGTGTTATTTGTATTTCCATTCATTTTATTATTAATTTTGATATTTCATTTATGGAAAAATGTCATAACTGAGATTAATATAAAAATAAGATCATATAAATTTCATAAG